GGTATCCACTTACAAATGCACACTTTCACACATTTCATAGCTTGGTCCTGGGATTTCCTACGGTGATAACTATTAGATCGATTGTTTCAATTGGTCGTTTAGAATATTAGCGTCACGCTAGTCCCACTTTCTAGGAGCATGCATATAGCCACCTTGTATGGGCTTTTGATTTTAATCTTATCCATTGAAGAAACTCCTTTCCCCTTGGTTTACATACCAAGCATCTTCTTAAAGGGTCTCATAGTTGAGTTTGGGCATGGCCATTCTCACAAGGTTAATCAAGTCTTGCCATTGGTTAACCATAACCCGAATCAACCACTTTGGTCCATATACCAAGTGTTTCCATGCACAAAGGGTCTCATGGTTGAGGATAGGAGCACCTACTCTCACGAGATTAATCAAGTACACCCCTTGGTTAATCATAACCCGATTCAATTCTCATATACCAAGCATTCCATTTACTCCTTTCATAGTACTACTCATTTTGTCGTCACTTTTTCCATGATCACCATACATGATCACTCTTCATAAACACTGTCTCCTTTTACTTTATGCTTATAGCATGCTCCCTTAGGATGATAGTTTCCTCTTCTTTAAGATGCAAACTAATTAGACCTTAGGTTGGAACCCATGCATGACAACATTAGGGTAAACTTTCCTCTTTTGAATTTTCTTTTGTAATTAAAATTAAAACTTATCATTTACAAATCAAAAATCTAAAAATATTTAATCATTGCTCGAGTTCATTCTAAAACTCACAAAACACGCAACCAATCAAAACTTCCCCCAAAGGGCATGTTATCTTTGTTCTACCGCAATACAGGTCATGCCTATTGCTATAATGTGTGCGTTAATATCGCCCACTAAAAACACCAACAAACCAACATTTTTTAGAGGAACTACGGTGTTCTGATTCCTTCACTGGATATGTAGGCAAAGGGTTGCGAGACTCTTACGAATGCACTAATGAAAACCCTTTTTTTTCTCCTTAGCAAGTATAGTTATAGATAAACACACCCTTAGAAGCAAACAAACAAAATGGATCCCGTTAAGTACAACGGATGTGAGGGGTTCTAATACTTTCCCCTCGCATAATCGAATCCCTTACCCTTTCTCTTGGTCGCAAGACCATCTTATCCACCCCCTTGTGGTTTTCTCGATATTTCCTCTTTCCTTCGAAATGAATAAAGTTCGGTGGTGGCTATGTGTTTTTCTACCGGTAGCTTCAGTTGGCGAGTCTACTGGGGATTGATTTTTTGCGAGTCTCTCCTAGTTTTGTTTATTTGTCTCTTTGGGTGTTTATTTATTTGCTTTATTTACTTTACCACTTTATTTCTTTGCTTTATTGTTTACTTTTGTATATATTGCATTATATTGTTTCTACTCATATTCTGGATATGTTGTGCTGTTGGATTGGGTGATTACATTTGATAAGTCCTACACCCGGACTTGGGTTACATTTAGGATTAGGACGGGCGGTATAGTCATGCTAACTTTGAGGGAGTAATCCCGAAGAATGAGGCATGAAATCCCCACTCAGTGGAAATCCCTTGAATGTAGCATTGTTTACCGAGTAATCGGGAAGACATTGTTGTTTTCGACCTGAGAACCAGAGAAGTTGATAGTCGTAGAACCATTAACCCATCCTGGCCTTTTCAGGTGTAGTGCAAAGACTATAACGGAGTAATCCGGAAATAGTTGTCACGCGATGCTGCACTCGGATGAGTTTTTCTTGTGAATATTACTTATTACCGAGTAATTGGGACGTCGGTAATATCCAAAGGAAGAGCGTAGACTATGAAGTTTCCTTAGAACCTTGTCCGACAAGTGATGAACCCCTAGTACATACCTTATCGGTGGTTACTTTAACTCCATGCATGTGACGTCAAACTTTTGATCCTATTACTTTCAGTTTATGCAAAGGACTACACAGTGGTTATCCAGAATATGTGGAGCTAAAATCTCATGCCATAGCATACCATGACATCATACCATCGTGTATATACATCTCATATCTAAGGAATTCCAAAGACAAACCTCGTTGGTCGAGCTCTTCAAAAAATGAAAAAAAATTTTAAAAGGACCGACGAGTCTTTGGATTTTCTCGGAAATGAAGATAAAACATTCATTCATACTATCATGCATTCTCTATTCACAACAAAAACTTATGGGGGTCCCTTTTCCATCATACTTCAGTGAACAACAAAGATGACTTCTTTACATCCCTACAGTACAAGAAGCAACCAGCGAAGACTTATGGATCTTTTTGAAGAGAATCAGAATGCTCTCCGCCGAGATATAGACACCATGGGCACTCGCATGGATTAACTTATGGAAACTCTTCATGCTGTCATCAAGGGTCAAGAACAACTACATCAAAGTGTTGGCAAGCTTGTTATTGTTTCCCCCTCCATTTCTGTTAATGGGAGGAATGATAATACAAATGTTGAGAACCCTACTGGAGCTCCTTCAGAATGATGTTGATGATCATCACGACGTCATTGATCTTGATGAACCCCGCGTGAATCTTGTCGCTGGAGTTACGGAAACTGTAAAAATGTACCATGCTCTTGAAGAGTGTCTCAAAGCCATGGAGGGTGTCAAGACTTCGGGATTCAATACTGCTGCAATGTGTCTCGTGTCTGGGGTAGTTATCCCTCCCAAGTTCAAGGTTCTTGATTTTGACAAATACAAAGGCACCTCCTGTCCAGAGACTCATCTTCGTTCCTACTGTCGCAAGATGGCAGCCTATGCTGAAAATGAACCGTTACTCATGCACTTCTTCCAAGATAGCTTGACCGGGGCACTGTTGGACTGATATATACAACTAGAAAGAACTCATGTTAGTACTTGGGGAGAACTTGCTGATGCCTTTTTGAAACATTGTCATTATAATATTGCCACGGCTCCAATCCATACTCAGCTTCCAGGGATGATACAGAAATCTGAAAATTCATTCAAAGAGTACGCACAAAGGTGGCGTGAACTGGCTGCAAGGGTACAACCTCCTTTCTTGGATCGTGAACTGATTGATTTATTCATGGGTACTCTACGAGGTCCTTATCTCCAACACATGCTCAGTAGTACCTCTACCTCTTTCTCTGATATGGTCATTATTGGAGAACATGTTGAAACTTGTATCAAGGCTGGAACGATCCAAGGTGTCCCTAACAATACCAACAATAATACTGGTATTGGTAGGAAGTCGTTTTCTGGTTTTGTCAAGAAGAAAGAGGGGGAGACTAGTGTTGCCACAATCAACCAAGGAAAAGCTCTTGCATATCCTCAAATTCGATTTTCGTATTTCCCAACACCTGCTGTTGTTCCTAATCAATTTGTTCCTCAAGTGTATGTTGCTACAACTTCAGCATCCTAGATGGCCTAACAACGACCTTTCACTCCGCAACCACAGTATCTTCCACAACAACAATTTGCACCACCTCCAACTTATCAACAACAGAATCAGCAACCTCAAGGTCCGAGAGCTCCACGAAGAGAAAGAGCGCCCAAAAGAAGATTTGATCCCATTCCTATGTCCTATGCTCATCTTCTCCCTCAGTTACTTGTCAATCAGTTGGTTCAACTGTGTGAAATTGGTCCACCACCGAATCCTCTCCCCAGGGGTATGACATTAACACTCATTGTGAATTTCATTCTAGAGCCCCAGGCCACACGATTGAGAATTGTAGAGCATTTAAATGTAAAGTTCAAGACCTCCTCGATGCAAAGGCCATAAATTTCAACCCTATTGATCTCAATACTCAGAATAATCCCTGTCTCCTCACCCAAAAACAGCGGTCAATGCTATTGAAGAAAATAGTGAGCAGACTCTAAATATTGCTGCAAAAAATAAAACTCTTACTAAACATGTTTTCGAAACTTCAAATGTCAAGGATAAATGAACCTCTACCAAATCCGAGAAGAAATAAATAAAGAAATACTATGAAGGAAACCGATGAGATAGGTTATGTTGTGAACAAAGTGCGCGAAGGTGAAATTGCAGGCAAAAATCAGTTTCTTTGAAAAACAAGCGTAACTAATCCAAAAACAATTGTAACAAATGTGTAGGTACAACATTTTTTATCCAATCTTACATGATGAAATTTATGATTGTTCAATCTATTTGTTAATAGATAAATGAATTATATTTTGCAACACTTTTCCATATGTATAATTAAGAAATTTCTCAAGCCTATGCTGAAGGAGATATAAAATTGATTGATGTTGAAGTTGATTAATGTTACCACTGCATCATTCTTAAAGCTAAAAGGAACAAACCTAAAATTAAAAAAACTAAACTTTGACACTTTTTGAAAGATATTTTGTTTATTGTAGTTTAATATAATTACTGGTATGTTTAAATTAACAAACCATTTTACATGTTTTTGATGGTATTACAATTCTCATTAACCAAATACGAAATATGAAATATAATCATGGATGATTTTAGGAAATTATTTCATGTGACAATAATATCTATTTCTTTCAATTTAAAAATCAACTGTGTGTATATAAGCATCATACAGCTAATCCCGTGCATACGCACAAGTTTATTACTAATATATTAATAATAAACACATATTTATCATTATTTTTTTAAAACACTAAACAAAATACAAAAGATTCTTCTATTTTTCTCATAAGACTCCATTTTATCCAATACCACAAACATACTCATTAGAAATTTGTTTTTGAAAAACACAATAGATCAAGATTTCACATGATAGTCTTAGACTCATGAACTAGATTTCCTGTATATTTGATTCAGCGGTGAGAAGAATTGATTCTGAATAAATTAATTTTATAAAATTGATTCTGACTAAAAGTGAGTTGAAGGTAAAGTGATTTATATTTGAATACATTTATATAGAAGTGAATTGAACAATAAATTTCAATGTAAAAATCACGTTTAAATTCAAAAACTACAAATTTTAACTTCAAATAAAATCAATTCTGAAGACAAAATCAATTCTACTTTAACAGAACCAAACATATTAAAATCATTGTAGAATCAATTTTAAACCTCTAGAAGTGCTTACCCTTCTAGAATTGAAACCAAAACACACACTTCGAGCTCCTAACATCTTCAATGATGCGATTTTCAATTTTTTTTTGCCAATTGAAATCATAATCATGCCTTTAGATGAACATGAATCTTCAATCTCCTCATAATTATCATTTTGATTTACCATCAATTGCACCAAAAGGAGATCTTCTCTTCTATACTCATGCATCTAGAGATGTATACATTATAATAGTAATTCATCATGCACTCAATAGATTTGGATTGAAAGTACTCCATGGTGTCACTTCATAGTAAATTCAATTTTATTGGAGATTCAAATTTCTTCTCATCTTCCATTGTCCATGATTTCAAAACATCTTCAATCTTGTCATCAAACTTCCAACTTGAGAAGGTGCCTTTAACCTTTGATTTTAAGCACTCTCTACCTTCACCGTGTTTTCTAAAACAATCAACCGATTCATGGTTCTCACCCGAGCTTGAGTCAGGCCTACCATTATTACTAGGTATTGGCCAAATTTGAGTGCCTAACCACTTCAAATAGTTATCACTATTATATTTTATGTTGGTTGTCACCTCCCATTCGGGAACTTCGGCTTGAAACCTAGGTCCAATGGGAATAAATGGCCTCGAAAGATGGTTACCCCTAGAAGGTAAAAATTTCTTTCGAGAGTCAGCAAATTCCATATCCTCTTCGATTAGTTTCTCTTTGATTGATGCCGCAATACCATAAGAATAACTATCATTATCCATTAAATCTCTAGCATGAACATAAAAGCTCTCTTTGTTCTTAAGATAACTTGGTCTTAGAGAATCTTCATCATCACTTAGGTGAGAATAGTCTTGTCTAGAAATAACACAAAATTCAGTACCATATTGCTGTCTTCTTGATAAACTAATATTTTTTTCATCCGATGGTGTTGAACACAAGACTGGAGATAATTTCCCTTTTTGATCTTTGACATTATCAGTACCATATTTCTTTTTACCGATAAATTCAGAATTAGTGGCAAATTTATCACCATTTATGTATTGGTTACATTTCCTCTTCTGAAATAAAAAATAAAATAATTGTGATTCTATTACATGTAAAAGCTATTTACGAACCCATACACTATCTTAGATATTTACCGTTCATAATTCAAATACAAATTCATTAATAAAAAGTATTTAATGATAGAACATATGAAAGATTTTATAAACATGTAACGATTATAATATATATAACTTTTAAAAGATTATCAAATACAATAAACTCTAATAAAAATTATTATAAACAAAAATATTACGATAATTAAAAAATAATAATAAAATAAAATAATTTAAATAAATATAATAATAATAAGATCAAGTTATAAAAATATAAAAAATATAAAAGAAAGATAAAATTTGTTCAACATAAAACTTTTAACATTTTAATAAATTAAATGTATGTTTAAATAAATAAATAAATAAATTATAGTAAGTATGTACATATTTTTAATATTAAAAAGAAATCTCTCTCTTCCTCTCCAAATCACTCTAAATAAGAGGAAGTAAAAAGTGGTCCAAGCCCTCCCCTAAATTTGAACACATAAAATATTAAATATTTTCTACTCTCCCCTCCCCTCCTTTAGGGGTGGCAAAATGGATTGTATCCGTCGGTCCGCACATCCGTCAAAAAATAACGGATTGGGTAGCGATTTTGGATCCGGTATCCACCAAAGTCCATCTCTCTAAAAAATGTCGTGCGGTAAAGCTTGTCCCACCAAAACCCGTCGTCCGCCAAAGTCTGTCGCGCCTATTCGTTCAGCTTGTCTCATCTTAAGTCTGCCTTTTTTTAATTAATTTAGTATGCTCAATTCTTGATAGTTTTATTTTATTCATTTATTTGTGAATATATGTAATATTTTTTTGAGTAATTTTGTTAAAAATATGTTTTATAAAAAAAATAAGTGAAAAAACTAATTGAAATATAAAAATAAAAAAAAACCTTTTAATATATTAAAAAAATGACAAAGAAAAAAATAAATAAAAAAGTAAGCGGGCAAGTCCACCGCCCACCAATCCGGAGCGAGCTAGATTTTTATGCCCATTTCTACTAGGCGAGCTTGTCCACCCCACTCTTTTTTTAGAGTACTTAAGGTAGGGTGGGGCAGAACGGAGCGGGAGACCTATTTTGCCACTCCTATTCTCTTCTATAAGCAACTTTTGAATTTTAGATTCATTGAATAATTGATATATCTAATCTAAATATACTATAAATACATCATTTATCGAGTGAATTTAAAAGTCAAAATTTGCTTATAAAAAAGAATGGAGCGAGAATATTTAAGAATTGAAAAATGTTATTCTTACACCACATTTATACACCTACACTGTATAAAAATAAAAATTATTTTTTTTACTTTTTTAAATTGAAGGAGTACAAAAACAAAATTATGTGATTAATCGACTACATAATTTTATTAACCAAAATTTTAAATTTTATTAATCAACTTCATAACTACTAAAAATATGAAAAATCTATTAATCAACTTCATAACCAAGTTTTTACATTTCATTAACAACTTTGTTTTACTACTAAAGATTATTTTTAATATGTGTGTTTATTAATCAAATTTATCATTTCATTAACTAATTTTTTACATTTCATTAATGAACTTTGTTTTACCATTAAAAGTCATTGGCACTGTTCACGTACCGTTCAAGTTACTATTTATAAATTATATTTTTTTATTTAAAAAAAACACTGTTCACCGTATAAATATGGTGAACAGTGTTTGATGTAAGTATTTGGGTGTAGACTTGGGTGAAAGAATAGCACACTTGTTAAGAATTTATGTGTAGGGAGTGTTAGCACTCTATTAATATGTAAGGTTTTATATAATACTCGCATTAAAGATTTTTTTAGCTATAACCGATATTGCATTTCGCCGCAGCAATGAATCATATACACCATCACTATTGGATATAATAAGTACTTCATTCATTCTCTTTTATAAGTAACTTTTGACTTTTAAGTTCATTAAATAATTAATGTATCTAGTTTAAATATAGTTTAAACACATCATTTATTGAGTGAACATAAAAGTTAAAATTTACTAATAAAAGAGAATGGAGAGAGTATATTTAAGAATTTATGTGTAGAGAATATATTTAAGAATTTATGTGTAGAGAGTGTCAGCACTCTATTAATATGTAAGGTTTTATATAATAGTCACGGTAAAGGTTCTTTTAGCTATGACGAATGTTATGTTTCGTCGCAGCAATGAAGTACATACACCATTAGTATCGGATATAATAAGTACTTCATCCATTCTCTTTTATAAGCAACTTTTGATTTTTAGGTTCATTGAATAATTGACGTATCTAGTCTAAATATAGTCTAAATACATTATTTATTGAGTGAACATAAAATTCAAATTTTATTTATAAAAGAGAATGGAGAGAATATATGAGACGTTATTAATTGAAAAAACATGATCCGTTTCTAAGACTTGTCTCTAAGTCTGCAACCTCTCCTTTAAATTCTCTATCAATTTTCTAAGTAGAACTATATCATCTACAAAAAAACATATATGTTCAAACCAGTTAAATTTATTTCAACCATTTTCTCTATTGTAGATGTTACTCCAACAATCTTTGATATTTTAATTTTTAATCCTATTTTGTGTAGTTACCGCACATCCAACACAACATCTTTGTCTCTATTACACTTACTTTATTCTTGTGTTGATTCTTAACCGCCCAACATTATGTCTCTTACAACTTCTCAAGTCTTACTGCAGTCTAATAAAAAATTTCCTTCAGCTTGAGAGGTACCTTTGCATCACATAAAACTTCTTAAGCTCTCCTCCATTTCAGCCACTCAACTTGAATTCAATGATTTACATCGTCTTCTATTTCTCTATCATTTTATATTAAATATTAAAGATATTCAAACCATATGACTTGAGGATGATATGGTCTCCAACTTTCACCACTAAGTTAGAAACACTTCTTCTTTTGTTGAACTTACATTCTATATACTTCGTTTTACTTCTATTTAGGCAAAAACCATGTGTTTCTAAAGCTCGTCTTCAGATCTTCAATCTCTCATTTAAATCCTCCTTTCACTCTCCAAGTAGGATTATATCCGCAAAAAGCATGCATCTCGGTGCTAGCTTTTGGATGTGTTTTATGAGTACATCTAAAATTAAGATAAAAAAATAGAGACTTCAGGTTGAACCTTGATGCAATCCTATTATAATGGGAAATCGTTCGTCTCTCCACTTTGTGTGTCCGTACATTTGTCTCTCCACCTTATGCGTCCGTACATTAGTCGATATCCCTTCATAATATGTGCAATCATAACACCTTTCTTCTCTAGGGCTTTTCACAAAATTTCTATAGGCACTATATCACACATATTCTCCAAGTCAATAAAAATTAAATGCAAGTTTTATTGATTCGTCCGGTACTGCTTCATTACACGTCGTAATAGATAGATTGCTTTCATGGTCGACCTTCCAAACATAAAACCAAATTGAGTCTCAATCTCTTTTCTTAGCCTCCATTCAATCACTTTTTCTCATAACTTTATAGTAAGATTTATAGGTTTAACTGCCCTATAATTTACACAATTTTGTATATCCTCTTTATTCTAAAGTATTTTTCTCCAATCATCCGACATTTGTTTTGGCCTTATAATTTTGCTAAAGAATTTGATGAGACACAGTGCCTCTATCACCAAAAAAATTTCATACTTCAATAAGTATGTTGTTTTTCCCAACAACTTTACTGATACTCATCCTTTTCAACATTTTCTTTGCCTCTTATTTCTAAATCCGGTAAAAATAAATAGAATTTGACAAATCTAATCTATGAAACATGAACTCCAACAAAGACACTCGACTCAACAAAAACACCTGACTCAACACGGCCATGTCGACTCTCTAGTTTATTCTAACTTTTGGCCTATTTTTAGTTTTTATTCTAATTATACGGTAGGACAGTTTCTACCATCAAATAGACCAAACACATGTCTGATTCTACCATCATCAAACAACAATAACTAAGTTTCATTTTATTAAGTGAAGTCGATTATATAAATCAAAGTTTATCATAATATGCTATCAAAGACTATATTTTTATTCAAATTATTAATCTCGAAATTTTTAAAATAATTAATGTAAAAATAATATGGCATTAAATATTTTACATAAATATGTATACATACCTGGGAATGTT